AATCATCAGACCACTGGTGACCATTTCAAGATGACTATCAGAGCTGACTGTGCTGTTTCAGCATGAAGCCCCCTCCCTCTGCCTAGGAAAGCTCTTGCTCACTGGATGTAGTTGGGAGAAGTGGTGAGGGAATCGGCCTTTGGACAGGAGTCTGCCTTCTCCTCTGGTTACTGACATCCAAAAGAAAGCAAACTTTCCTTGCCATCAACCTTGCCTCTTTGATGTCTTTTGAGCAGCCAGCAGCCAGACCCCACTTTTGGTTATGATCAGAGTGGAGTTAATGTGGAGGTGGATGGCAGGAAGAGAGGGTGGACATGGTCAGCTGAAACATAGATGGCCTGAGGACCATTGTTAGGCTCTAGATTTTACTCTGATTGAAACAGGGAATCACTGAAGAGTTTTGAGTCAAGGAGCAGAATGACCTGACTTATACTTTATTGGTAGATTGGGAGTTTGGGATTGACATGTATATCTGCTATGTTTAAAATAGATAACCAACAGGGACCTACTGTATAGCACAGGGAACACTGCTCAATATTTTGTAATAACCTAAATGGAAAAAGAATCTGAAAAAGAATAGATACATGTACATGTGTAACTGATTCACTTTGTTGTATACCTGATACTAACACAACATTGTTAACTGTACTCCAATATAAAAGAAAATTAAAAAAAGAAAATAACCTCTAGGGTGCAAAGGTGGAAGCAAGGAAATAAACTAGTTAAAATGAAAAATTCAACTCTACTTTCTCTGTAAATTTAATGAATATGAATCAGAAATTAAGAGACAAGAGTTCAAAATTATATGCAAAGACATTGAAGTTGTAACTACACAAAGCTAAAACTGGTTGGAAGAGACAGTTCAATAAAGCAGTCGATTCTGCACCAAATGTCAGGTTTGAAAATATTTTAGAATAAGTTCATGAATAACCAGTGATTAAACAAATGTAAAGTTTGGGAACATTGAATATCTATTGCTAAGTAATAAATTAAAAAAAAAAAACTCCCTCCTTAACATGGGGTCTGGGTTATGGAAATAAACAGATGCCTATTATGATGTTGGAATTGTCTCCTCAAGTACTTTTTGGTCCTGGAAGCCAAAATAAAACAAAAAAAAGACCACCCAAGAAACAAAAATGAAGACCTTTCATTTGGAGCTTAAGGAAAACTTGAAAAGTTAGAATGTAAATCATCAAGAAAAATGAAGGGAGTCACAGTTTGGACTATTCGTGTTTTTATTTTCAAATTTAAAACATGACTAATGGGAAGAAAGAAAATAGTTGAGTCTTCTTCAAGAAACAAAGAAATGGAGAAATAAAAATTCTGGTAGAAGGTGAATTTAGCTTTGCAATCGTCCTTCCTGGCAGTCAGAATTATTAGGTTATGAAACAGAGCTCTCTCCATTTCTCCTGGGCAGTTTAGGTTTGGAACAAATTGGACCTGAAAAAGTGTCAAACTTCACAGTAGGAGTGCCTACTCAAAGCACCAGTTCTCTCTGAAGTAGGTTACTACATTCACCTAGGGAAATTTCTATTGAATTATAATTAGGTGGCTAATTAAAAAGTGGATTACCAACTATATTAAAATATGAGAGAAAAATGTTCACATCATTCATTCTTTAATTTAGAAAATCCACTGCTTCCTTAAATTCTCACTGGAAAATTCCATATATAATACCCATGTTTTCTTTCTTCCTTTTAAATCAAATTTATTGAAGCAAGTCTAGGATTTTGTTTGTTGAGGTAATAGAACTAATTTGATCTTCCCCTATTAATAAAAAACGTACCTCTACATCATAGTTATCATTCTTTAGAATGAGAACTGGTGGCTGTGAAAAATAGTGCAAGGTTCCTAGAAGAAATAATAATAATGAAAATAATAACTGCTACCATTTAGTCACTGCTAATATATATCGGCCACTTGATGCGAAGAGTTGACTCATTGGAAAAGACCCTGATGCTGGGAGTGATTAGGGGCAGGAGGAGAAGGGGACGACAGAGGATGAGATGGCTAGATGGCATCACTGACTCGATGGACATGAGTTTGAGTAAATTCCGGGAGTTGGTGATGGACAGGGAGGCCTGGCATGCTGCAATTCATGGGGTCGCAAAGAGTCAGATATGACTGAGCAACTGAACTGAACTGAACTGAATATATATTAAATTCTAGATGTCTCATTTAATTCTCAGTAACTCTATGTTACTGAGAGAATTACAGTTGTCACCTAACATACCTATTACCCATGTTACAGTAATTTTATGTCTATTAAACAGATAAGGGAACTAAACTCAGAGAAGTTAGGTAAATTATTCAAAATCACACAGCTTAATGGTGTTAAATTCAAGCTCAGAACTTTTTGACCTAAGAAAGTGAAAGTGAAAGTTGCTCAGTCCTGTCTGACTGTCTGTGACCCCATGGACTATACAGTCCATGGAATTCTCCTGGTCGGAATACTGGAGTGGGTAGCCTTTCCCTTCTCCAGGGCATCTTCCCAACCCAGGGATCGAACCCAGGTCTCCCACATTGCAGGCGGGTTCTTTACCAGCTGAGCCACAAGGGAAGCCCAAGAATACTGGAGTGGGTAGCCTATCCCTTCTCTAGCGGATCTGCCCGACCTAGGAATCAAACCAGGGTCTCCTGCATTGCAGGTGGATTCTTAACCAAAACAATCTTGAATTAAGCAAGAATTTTGCCTTCCTTAAAATGTTTTAACATTAAGCTAAAACTATATGGTTGCAGTCAACTGGTTTTGAAATTGATACTGTTCATGTACCATATAAGCAGTTAATCAAGATCTTTTATTAATGAGAAGACCAAATTTCCTAGCCATTTGTCCAGACCTCAATTTATTTTATGAAGTAAATGATTGTCAGGAGACTCCTCAGCTATTACTAACAGCAGAAGTAAAAGTCACCTGTTACTCTAGGTTATTATTTGTCTTTCCCTATTTTTGTCTAATTTCTAAGAAAGTAAAAATTAAATGATAGCCCTTGAACTTTGGTACGATACAATTTATGAGCCTGCTACCTTAGTCACATATTAAGTGGGCCAGTCTGTTTCTAAAAACACTTAAAAATTGGCTGCCCCCAGTAGATGACTTAGCAGACAGGCACAACTGACTGCTGGGATAGGCTTCCTGAATCGCTTACTCAGTCCCCATGCCAGGCAGGTGACTTGGAGTTCTTTCTCAAATAATGACAGCCATAACAATGTAACTATGCTAAAATTTATTGGAGAGCCTGTTGTATGTCAGACACTGTGCTCACTGCATATATTACTTCACTTTGCTCTAGGATTTCTCAGTTGCGGTTCCACCTTTTGGGCTGGATGAGTTTTTCTTTGTGAGGGGTGGGGGTGGAGGGTTGTTCTGTGCATCCTGGGAAGATCTCCCCAGATGTCAGCACACATACCCCCTCCAGTTGTGATAGCAGAGGCCATCTCCAGACGTTGCTAAATGTCTCCTGAAGGGCAGAATCGCCCCTAGTTGCGAGAGAGCCTCTCTGTTTTACTCCCCCAACAACTTGAGGGAGATTAGTACTATTAGATTAGTAATATTACTGATGAGGAAACTGTGATGACAAGAGGTTTAAGGCTCGCAGTTAGTAAATTACAGAGTACATAGATCACCTGTCTCTTGAATGCTATTTTTCTATGGTTGAAACTCATAAGTGAAGATCTGCCCTCTTTCCCATCCTCTTTTTTTTTTTTTTTAAATTTATTTATTTGACTGTACCCGATCTTAGTCGCAGCATGTGAGATCTAGTTCCCTGATCAGGGATTGAACCCGTGCCTCCTGCATCGAGAGTACGACATCTTAGCCACTGGGCCACCAGGGCAGTCCCTTCCCCACCCTCTTCACTCCTGTATTTCACTGTGGGGTGGAGCAGTGGGAAAGAAGGGACGGTGCATGTGCACAGAATTCCTGTTGTACAGATTAATTCCACTTTAATTGGAATTTTGAAAACTAATGAAAAAAATTACAAGTGTTACATGATCCATTCTCTGGGTTTCTGAATCTATCTGATTTAATTCTTCCCAATTAGCATGCCATTATGGAGGAGTATTATGTTCAGAATCAATATTACACTAAACACTAATATTTTATTCAGTATTAAAAATTTATACAAATGGTAATACAAGTGCTTTATTCCTACTTTCTCTAAATGAGAAAAAATGCTTCCTAAGGGCAATTCCAGGTACAAAGAAAATGTTATCTTCTGAGGAGACTATTGGTATTACATTTGACATAGATCATTTCTTACATGAATCAGTAAGATTTAATTGAATGAAATTTATTTTATTGTAAAGTGTACATATTCTTCAGGATGTCAGATTGTTTTCCTTTTTATACCTATAGTGTAATCCCATGTTAAGATGACAATAAAATGACATTATTGTGCAGTACTGCTAAACCAGAAAAAATATAACTGTCACATTATGATTGTAGGATATCATTTTCTTCTTCTTCTTCTTTTTTTTCTATTACTACCCTTTTTTGAGTTAGATATAGTCATATACTGGAATTTGAATCTATATCCAGATTCTGCATCTTATATCTTCTTTGCAAAGAGGAATTAATAAGCCTAATAGATAAACAGTACACTAGATAAACATCTAATAACCACCTAGAAAGAGGTCAGTTAGGTGTGGTTTAAAACAGATATTTCAAATCTGCTTTCCAAATTGGGTCCCTCTGTACATCTCCCAGCATCTGGCCTTGCCATGGTGTCTGGATTTAGACCCTGGGTCCCCTGCATGCATCCTCTGGTTCTCCCTCACCCCTCCCTTCATCTTGCCTGTCCGTCTGTTGCTTCTCCCCCCACAACTTCAGTAGCTTCTTCAAACTTCCAAACTGGGGTAGCACCATGAGATTACCATAGCTTTGATCTCATGAAGGCATTTATGATTTTTAAATAACTTACATACTTAAATTCCCAACTTCTCATATATTTTAAAACCATAAGGAAACTATACCTTTTAAAACATACCTATCTTTGTGAATTACTATACTTTGTTCTTCAGTATTAGAAAAGCTTTGCTCCATATTTTAGTAATCTCCCAGTTGGGTTGGCAAGATCAGTCTGTTAATATGCACATACTTTGAAAAACCTAGTCTTCAGGAAAAGGATGCTTATAATTCCAAAGGCATGTTAGAAGTTAAAAACTGCCGTGCAAAATCTAAGCAGGAAAAAGAAACTCTGATTAAATAAAGCTAACTGAAAAATTAGAAATTGAAGGTATGTTCAGCATGGCAATCACAGTTACAAACAGGAAAATTTAAACTAAGAAACACTTAATTGGTTGACTTTTCTAAAATATTGATTGGATTTCATTAATAAGCATTTTATGCATATGGCTATTCTGAAAGTTTCTTTAAAAATGAAAGACTTATGCCTTAATGAGACGTATTATCACATGAACATATTTGAATCTGGCTTATGAAAAACAGGACTTTAGAATTTAAAATGTGTGCCTAAAATGCAAATATATTTAATTAACTGAAAACCCATAAGACAGGACTTCTTCAAATAAGCAATTACTTCAGGGACTAATTGTGTAAATAGGATCCTGATTCATTAGCACAAATACCCATATGAGAGAAGGATAAGCAAATTTTATTCTTTAGGTTATTTATGCACATGTGGTAATATCTCATTAATTTAAGACTTCAATAAATTTAAAATCTTTTGATAATTTGCTCATGAGCTGGGCTGATGTTTACCTTTTTTTGCAAACATTTTATTCATAGGTGGCTAATATATGGTGTTTTAAACATTTATTTTCAATCTTACGTACACTTTTTAGACAGAATAAGCTATTTTCAATGAACCTCAGGCACTTTACAAGCTCCTACGTACACCCAATCTATATGCTAATAACAAAATGTTCATATGATTCATCGTACGAGGTCTCCTTACAATGGAGAAATCTCCCGAAGGATTTCTGTTTTATAATGTTTTGTTGAAGTTACTACATGTAGTTTAAAGTAGTAAAAGCCACATTTGTTTAAAGTTATCTGTAATTCAGCCTTCCCACACACTCAAATATGCCTACCTCCCTAATTCATTAGAAAAAATGAAATTTTGCAATATTCACAGCCACACATCTAGAGAGAATTTTCCTGTTAAATATGCACTGGAACATATACAGAAAAAATACAATGAAGTGTGAAAATAAATGATTTTGTGAGTGTGGACAAAGGAGAGTGAAGTGTCTCAAATCAATTTAAGTCCTGTAGGCACAATACACTGGTGAAAACTCAGTAAAATAGCCCTTTCCTCAAAAGGTGATGTCACTCACTTGGGATGACTGAGTTCTAATCGTTTGCTTGCAAAGTGATAATAAGTTTTTCCAATTAGACAGTCAGTTCCTAGGCCAAAGGGGTGGATGCTCCAAACTAGGGCATCTGGGATGAACAGAAATACCACAGCACAGATCTGGCATTTCTAAATCTTCCTTGTTTGTGGCCATGACTTTTCAGCATCCACATGTCAATTTTCTGCACAAGATGCTACTCTAAAGAATCTTAAAATTGTTTATAAAGCAAGTAGAAGAATTCTTTTATTTTAATGACCAAAACTCATACGTAGAACAAAATGACTCAAAATTCTAAACCAGATAATATATATTTCACATTGACACAAACCACAACTGAACGAATAAATTGAACATTCTCTTTTCTATGAAACACACTGATGGCAAACCTAGATATTAGAAGTCATGCCATCTTCACACAAGAAGTAGTTCCATTTGTTTTTAATATTGTGAGAAGACTAGAACTATCCATATTAGTAGTTACTTACCATACAAAGGGGAAAAACAAGCTCCAATTCCATTTTCATGACTTAACCAAGAATACTTGCTGAAAGAGGACTCTATCGTGTGTTTCTGGATAGTTACACAACCTGGGTAGGAGATAGAAGCACAGAATGTTGCATCATCAAGGAGAAAACTTCTCAAGAAATACTAGTTTGTTCTATCAGTGATTTCTCATCTGAATGAGTGCTATCCCAACCAACTATATGCTATTCATACTATATATACTAAAGATGTTTAGTCAGCAGTAAAACTGTTTCATTTATTTACACTCTGACTCTGTTCTAAGGATCTGAGGTGGCTTCCAAAAAGAAAAATAATGAAATGTGAATAAAAATAAGAAAACAGGGACTTCCCTGGAGGTCTGATGTTTAAGACTCAGTAGGTTCAATCCCTGGTTGGGGACTTAAGATCCCATATGCCTTGAAGTGTGGCCAAGAAAAGAAAAAGTGTTCAGAGTAAGATAGGAAGAAGTATATATGTTACCTACATTGGTTAGCACTTGATTAAAAGTATAGTTTAGATTTAAGTTTCTTGGTAAATTAGGGAAAAGGAAGACACAGTTTCTTTTTAATCTTCTATTAGAGAGGAAAAGATGCGTTACTTCCCCTAAAGAAGCCAAGTATTTTTATCCTCTTGATATGAAATTCATCAAAAATTTAAAGCATGTAAAACATGATACAGGGGCACTGAGATAAAATGGATTATTCTATTTGACAGGAATAGGGCTGACGATGATGAAAACTGATGGGCAAAGGAGTACTTCTTTTTCTTGTTTGTGCTGGGGTCTCTGTTGCAGAGTGCAGGCTTCTCTAGTTGTGGCGCACGAGTTTAGTTGCCCTGAAGCTTGTGGGATCTTAGTTCCTTGACTGGGGATCAAACCTGATCCCCTGTGTTGGAAGGTGTATTTTTAAAAAATGTACCACCAGAAAGCTCTGAAACAGCATACTTTTGCTTGGAGATAGTTGGTGCATGTCAAGTTGCTTCAGTCGTGTCCCACTCTGAAGTGGGTCCACGGGGTCACAGCCCGCCAGGCTCCTCTGTCCATGGGATTCTCCAGGCAAGAGTACTGGAGTGAGGTGCCATTTCCTCCTCCAGGGGATCTTCCCGACTCAGGGATTGAACCCACATCTCTTAAAGTCTCCTGCAGTGGCAAGCGGGTTCTTTACCACTAGCGCCATCTATTACCGCTATGAAAATTGTCTTACTCCTAGAGACACACCAGAAGCTTGAAATTAGGGCAATCCTACCTCTAAGCACAATTCGCTGCCAACTCACAAGTTTCATCCAAATCTCTTCCCTTGCCATGCCTTCCTAATACATAAGAGCTCCTGAGCTGAAGTCACATTCTCAGCAGTGAAGAGAAATTTCTGAAGGAAGTCACTGATGGCTTGTGACCCTAGGCCAGTCAGTGTTCATTAATATAAATAGGGGGTAGAGCTGCAAAGATCTTGAGCCCAAATATGATACACTACTGACAGCTGCGCAGCCCATTTTGTGGGGCCATTTCAAAAGGGAAAGGGTGAGAAAGGGAAAGGTATATGATCATAGGATCATACTGTAAGTGAAACACATCCCAGCACGAGGCTCTTCCTTGAAATCCACGTTTTCCTGACTTCCTTGAAATCTCACTTAAATTTTTTTTTTCCTTTGAGTCTCTGAGCAAGTAATAGCTGGTCTTTCTGCTGTACCACTTGGAATATACTACATAAGAGTTCATATGCACTGAAATGTTTGTAGATTTTCCACCTTCTCTGCTGTCTGGAAGCCCAACTCCAATTAAAATATATGTACTATTAAAAAAAATTATTTTCTTGGCCCCAATGCATGGCATGTGGGATCTTAGTTCCCTGACCTGGGACTGAACCCGTGCCCCCTGCATTGGAAGCATGGAGCCTTAACCACTGAACCACCAGAGAAGTCCCAGTCTTGCAGGAAACTCCTCTCAATTTTCTTCTTCTGGCTCCTCTGCTTCCTCCCCCTAAGCATGGGTCTTCCTTCCGGTTCTCCACTTGGCAGCAGTTTCATTCACACCCACAGCTTAAACTGTCTTTTTCTGATGCTTCTCCAGGTTGGATCCTCCTCCCCCATCCCCTCCTGAATTTGCTTTTCCTTTCCTGCCTGCCTAACATCAATGGTATTGTCACCCTCCGTGGCCTGAACACTTGGAGTCATCTTCAGTCTTCTCCATCGCTGCACCACTATACAGAACATACCACCTGACTATGGCCACTTGGCACACAAACGTCATTTCCCTTTTACATGTCAAAGTCCACTGTGATCAATAATACATCCAGCCTCCATCATCTCCCTTCTAGGCAGTGGCCTCTTTTCTCATGTACCCCTACTTCCAGTCACCATCATTTCCCAGGCTTCAGGGTGGATCCTAGTTTTCTTCCTAAACCCTCATGCTTCCCCACTTGCTTGAAAGGGTCCAATATTTCTCTAGTCCCTAGCAGATCAACTCTAAAACTTCTCAGCAAAGAAGTTTCCAATACCTGAGATCAGTACATTGACCACATTTCACATAACCTTTCTAGTCCTATCAAACCATTTCCCCTCTCTGTAGCCCTCTCCCCAAAAGCTATTTCCTGCCTCCATGACTTTGTTACCAGCTTTCTGCTTCTGAAACGTCCATCTCTTAACACCCAGTTGAGACACTACCTCTTTCAGGCATTGTCTTGAATTCTTGAGTAGAACGCACTGTACCCTCCTCTACAAACCCAAAGATCCTTAAATGTACTCTCACTACAAGATTCATATTTATAATACTCTGGCTTTATTTTCAATAGCTATAAATACAGCAGTGCAAAGAGCTCTCAGAAAGTTTATAATCTAGCTAGGGAAACCCTGCTTTATTCACATTTCTAACTTCCATGGTGTAGTATTTCATGCTTGAATATCGTGAATGCTCTATAAATAATAGGTGATTAGATGATTTTTAAATGTCAGATAGCACCATGGAATGCTCTGAACACAGGGGTAAGACACCATTTTAGAAACTCTTTTCCGGCAAGACTGTCCAAATTTGGAAGACAAAGGTAATGAATGAGGACCAAGAAAAAGCCCCAATATAGGTAGAAGTGTTACTTTTCTCTCTCCATTATTTTTAACAAATTTGTTTGATCAGTTTATAAAAATCAAGTAAGTGTTTATACCTGAGGAAAAATGTTGCATTTTAAAAAATCAGATCACAGAATAGTCCTTAGGTGTTTGAGATTATTACACAGAATATATCTATGGCAATTTGCCCATTAGGGACCAAAAATGTCTTTCCAGTAGGTGCCTGTCCCCCTGCCTTATATGCATAAGATAGTTTACTGTTTGTTGAATGCATGAGTGCTGAGTCATCCACTTCTCTCTCGACAGCTGCCCTCCAACAGCTCTATTCCCCTTTACAGCCAAACCATTGTAAATAATTACCACGCTCTTCTTCCTTCCCTTACTTCCGGTCTGGTCTGCAGCTCACACGACCTGAGTCTCACCTCTGCCTTATCTCAGTGCTCACTGTGCTGGGACCCTCCCTGGACTCCGCTCCCTCAGGGTGGGCTCACTCTTTGGTGCTGTCGAGGGACAGGGAGGGAAGTTGAGGCTGCCCCACATGCCACAGAAGCTGCTGAGAACATTCTCTGTAGTGTCCCTGCCCACAGCCTCTCCCTTCCCCCAGCCATGCCTGCAATGGGTGAGGCCAGGCAACACTGCTTCATGAATGTTTGGTTTATTTAAGCCACTCACAAGAGCACCATCAGGTAGGTGAACAGGCAGCTCATAAAGTCCTCTAGCCGCAGGTTTGCATTTTCTCTCCACATCAGACCCCAGAACCTCGGACTGTTTTGTGTACAAGTTCCACCGAGCCACGCTTTGTCTCTAGTGGTCACCAACATGTCAAAATGACTTTCCTGTCTACCATGCCCACTCCCTGAGCATCTTCTTAAGATAGATGTAAACTATGAACATGTGAAACAGTCTCTGACATGCTTGACTGCAGTCAGAACTGGTTACAGCTCTGTTACCCAGACATATCATTTAGTAATGTGTGTATCTGCTCACTCAGTCGTGTCCAACTCTTTGCGACCCCATGGACTGTAGCCCGCCAGACTCCTCTGTCCATGGAATTTCCCAGGCAGGAATACTGAGTGGGTTGTCATTCCCTTCTCCAGGGGATCTTCCCGACTCAAGGATCGAACCCACATCTTGGGTGTCTCCTGCATTGGCAGGTGGATGCTTTACCACTGAGCCATTTCTCTTTAATTCAAAACAAATGTCTCCTTTCTCAGCCTTCCAGAGTCAAGGCAACTGACTCCCCCCACCTTCTCAAAATGGAATCCTGCTCCCTTGCCTCCATGACCCAGCAGTCTCCTGGCTTCCTTCTCTTTCTTCTTCTGCTCCTCCTTTCACCCTTAACGCTCATCCTAAGTGAAGGACCATGATGGCCACGGTGGCCACGATGGATTTGGATTCCTCAAGGCTTTGGTCCTAGCATGCTCTGCCATTGCTGACTTTATTACCTTTCTCTGCACGTCATCTCCCTCTGTGGATCCTATTGGTCATATCCAGACCTGTGAATGTGAAGATGCGTCACAAGTTTCTATCTCCGGTTGGGACTCCAGAGCTCTCTGACCAGCTTCACACCCATAACCAAATGTCTGCTTGCTCTACCCTGTGTCAACTCCAAGCCGTCTCAAACTCAGCATGTCCAGCACTGACTTTGGCCTCAGTCTTCACAGGCTTGTTTCTCTGCCAGTGTTCCTCGGCACCTTCCTGTGGGCTCTACATAAATACCGCAGAAGACAAACTGTCAGTTTTACCTTCTGTGTATCCTCAGAATCCACTGACAGCTTAGAATTCATCCTTCCTCCCCTAGGCCAAGTTACCAGTACCTCTCTGTTCAAAAAGTTCAGCTGATCTTCCTAACTTAGGCCCCTTGCCAACCAGTACTCTTCATTGTAGCCAGAAACACTTTCTTGAAACATAAAATTGATGATGTGACTATAATCCTCTCCCTCAAAAAGGCCCCCAAACCCACCTTCTTATTGGTTTTAGAATGAAGGAATACGCCCTGCTATGGCTGAAAAGCCTTTCGTGGTGA